CTTAGTAGCTGTTGAAAATCTCTACCTTGAGCAGTTAGATGTAAAGACTGCATTTCTTCATGGTAACTTGGATGAAGAAATCTACATGAAGCAACCTGTTGGTTTTATTAAGAAGGAAAGGAAGAGATAGTGTGTAAGCTTAAGAAGAGTTTATACGGTTTGAAACAGGCTCCAAGACAGTGATACAAGAAGTTCAATAACTTCATGTAGAGTAATGGCTATGGAATGTGTAACTCAGATCATTGCTGCTACTTCAATAGGTTTGAGTCTAGTTATATCTGTAGGTGTTGAAAATTGCCTATAGGTCTCCACGAACAGCTCGAGGCTAAGAGAAGATGATGAACGTCACTATCCAAGTCACAGGAGCTTGATTGATGTTGACAAACACATGAAGTGGGTTGACGAACTATGTGAAGCAACGGAGTTTCAGAATAATTAGGATACGAACTGATCGGGAGCCCCGTGTCACTTACAAAAGACGAAATTCCCTTCGTATCTCATTTATTCCACAGATGATCTAATCATTGGAGCTTATAGAACTCCTTGTCGGCTTTCCAACGCACTTTGAATCGTTCAAATCCGAGTTCGGATGAAGAAGTTACGGCGAAAACGAACAAACAGACATAAAGAAACGTCTCAGGCTGAACTAGGACACCCGATGTGTCTCGGCACGACCGAGACACCTTAAGGTGTCTCGGCCATGGCCGAGACACCCAAAGGTGTCTCGGACTTGGCCGAGACACACAAAGGTATCTCGGAACTTGTGGAGCTATTTTGATCATGATTCGTTTTGAATCTGAAGAAACTCAAAACATAAAAGTTATAGATATTTTTGTCAGCTTTCCAACCCATCTGGAATCAGGTCATTTTGAGGTCATATAAGGAAGTTATGACCAAAATAGCGCCGAGACACCCAAAGGTGTCTCGGACCTGGCCGAGACACCCAAAGGTGTCTCGGAACTTGTGGAGCTGTTTTGACCATGATTCGTTTTGAATCTGAAGAAACTCAAAACATGAAAGTTGTAGATATTTTTGTCCGCTTTCTAACTCATCTGGAATCAGGTCATTTCGAGGTCATATGAGGAAGTTATAACCAAAATAGCGCCGAGACACCCAAAGGTGTCTCGGACCTGGCCGAGACACCCAAAGGTGTCTCGGAACTTGTGGAGCTGTTTTGACCATGATTCGTTTTGAATCTGAAGAAATTCAAAACATGAAAATTGTAGATATTTTTGTCAGATTTCCAACCCATCTGGAATCAGGTCATTCGGAGGTCATATGAGAAAATTATGATCAAAATAACGCCGAGACACCCAAACGTGTCTCGGACTTGGCCGAGACACCCAAAGGTGTCTCGGACCTTGTGGAGCACTTTTAGCCATAAGCCGGTTAGAATCTGAAGAAACTCAAAACATGAAAGTTGTAGATCTCTTTGTCAGCTTTCCAACACATCTTGAATCATTCAAATCCGAGTTTGGATGAAAGAATTAGAGTCAAAATACTGAAGAGGGTATAAACTGTCTCGCACTTGGGACGTGTTTTTTGATGGTTTTTGATCAGTTTTAACCGCCCGGATCTCCTGGAAGCCTATAAATACAGCCCCTGGAGCCTCATTTTTTGAGATCTGGAATTCTCGTACCTCGGCGAAGCCCTGCCGGATTGAAGACTTAAAGTATACAGATTTCAGAGAGGAGGAGGAGTTAGATCTGCAGCCCGATTCGTTCCTTAGGATTATCCCGTTGCGGTAATCTTAAGAAGAGTGATTATCTCGCTTCGCCGAGATAAGAGCTATAGTTTCTCAATCCCTTCGCGGATAGACGAAGCTCTGCCTAATTTTTTCAGTAATCAGATCTGATCGACGGTGGTCCACGGATAAACCCCGGCACAGGCAAAGATCTCACGCAAGCAGAAGACCGATAAACGATCTCTGCGTTTGTTTGATAAAGTTGTAAATTTTTTTATTTTCATTGTGTAAGGAGATCTTATAAAAAGATCAACTTTTTATTTCATTCGAGTTTATTGTAACGACTAAAGTTGTAATAGATTCGATAACAATGAAAACATCAACTTTCACCGCAAACAATATCGTGTTATTGCTGTATGTATATGACATGTTAATTGTAGGACCGTGTTTACAAAAGATGAACAAGTTGAAGAAGCATTTGGCAAAGGTGTTTGTTATGAAAGATTTGGATGCAGCCAAGCATATTCTCGGTATGCGAATCAGTCGGAATGTGATTGAAGGGACGTTGAAGTTGAGTCAGGCTGAATACATTGAGAAGGTACTTCAGAGATTCAACATGCAGAATGCTAAGGCCGTTAACACGCCCCTTGAAAGTCAATTCAGGTTATTTGAGGAACAATCATCCAAGACGGATGCAGAAGAGGAGCACATGTGAAAAGTGTCATATTCATCAACCAATATTGGTAGTTTGATGTATGTAATGGTTTACACGAGGCCGAATATCGCCCATGTAGTGAGAGTTATGAGCACGTTTGCAAGCAACCCAGGGAAGCAACATTGAGATGCCGTGAAGTGGATCCTGAGATACGTAAGAGAGGGACTACAGACATGCCACTATGTTTTGAGAAAAAAAAATTGGTACTGCAGGGATAACGTGGATGCAGATTTTATCAGTGATCATGATACGAGGCGAAGCACCACGGGGTATGTTTATACCTTAGGATCGACAGCAGTGAGCTAGGTCTCATGTTTGCAGAAGATAGTGACTTTGTCCACGACTAAGGCAAAATATGTCGTAGTGACTAAAACCAGCAAGGAGATGATTTGGTTAACCGTGTGTCTAGAAGAGTTGGGTCTAAAGCAGGGGAACAAAGTTTTTTATTGTGATAGCCAGAGTGATATACGCATTACCAAGAACCCAGTATATAATGCCAGAATGAAGCACATCGACGTATGTTACCATTTCATACGCTCGCTAATAAAGTATAGGAAGTTACTATTAGAGAAAATTTTAGGGAGCCAAAATCCTGCAGATATGTTGACAAAGGCAGTGACCATTCAAAAACTGGAGTTGTACGCAACTTCAGTTGGCCTTCACGCGTAGAAGATGAGGGCAGGGCCACACTATGAGAAAGATATTAAATTCTCCAGGCAGGAAAAGATGCTTGTTAAGAGAGCTTGGTAATGACGGTTTGATCTCCAAGTGAGAGATTGTTGGTTTTGGGAGTATAGACCCAAACCTTAGAACAAGCATACAAGCAAAGATTTCTCTAAGTTAAGAAATTAGGCGAACTTGGAAGTTCAGGCGAACTTGATAGTTCAGGCAAACTTGGAAGTTCAGGCGAAGCCCGAAGCTAAGTTCAGGCAAACTTGGATCACAGACGAAGCTGAGTTCAGGCGAACCCCAAGTTCATGCGAACTCCAAGTGTATGCAAACTTCAAGTGCTCAAGCGAAGCTGAGCTCAGGCGAACCCTAAATGCGGGCAAACACCAAGATCAGGCGAACTTGTAAGTCAGGCGAACGTGACTATGTTCAGGCGAACATGAGTCAGACGAACTTGTGTGTTTAGGCTGACTTCACAAGTCAGGCGAGCTTTGAGTGTTCACGCGAACCCGCATGTCAGGCGAACTCGCAGAAAACAGATTCCTAATCTGTTTTGACCTAGGGTTTCCCTATAAATAGGGAACTCTGGCTGCCACTTAAACGCGAGTTTTCCAGAGCGATCTCCACAGCGTTTTTTGGCGGCGATTTTTGCAACGCCTTGAGTGGCAATTTTTCACTCGCGCCTTGAAAATAAAGAGAGAGTTCTTTTTTGAGTGATCTCAAGGAGTTTGAGATCATCTCTTGTAAGCTTTGTAATCTTCTTTAATATTCAAAGAAATTTTTTTGTGTCTCCCGAGGACGTAGGCAAGTTGCCGTTCCTCGTTAAAATTTTGGTGTTCCCTCTTCTATTTTTTTTCCTTGCAAAGTTTTCTCTTATTTCTTGTGATTTATTCATGCTTTCTTTCAACACAAAATCCGGAGGGCACGTTCCGTGAGAGGGTTCATTTGACAGGTTGTCGATAAGACGAATCTCCAACAAATAAGCGCGGCATGGATGTGTGATGTGATTGTTCTTCTGTTATTTGTGTGATTCATTGTATTCGGGTTGTTTTATTTTTGTTTTGTCACGGTTCAGCTACGGATTCTTTTATTTGTGGTCCTTTTTCTTCTTCTCCTCCCCCTCCTCTCTTTTTTGTAATATTGTGTGTTATTTCGTTTAATTCTTATTAATGAAACAAGGGGTGTAGTTACTCGCTGCCTCACCCAAACAAAAGGCAAAATGATGATGATGTGAAAGAGAGCGCTGAGGGATCTTCAGGAGAATTAATGTCGAACACAAAGATCACCTGCAAAGATGATTTCAAAATATTAAAATATTTTAAAAACAGAACATAACCAATCCTATCATTACAACCGAAATCTTTTCTAAGTCTGTATTGGTGGCTGAAATAAAAATCTGCATTCAATCACTGTACTCATCTACTCACATTCATGGAGACCATAAAAATTGCCAACACCCCCACACACAAGCAATCAATATGGGAATTCAATTTTGACAAGGAAACTTAGCAGGATTTAATATTTGGATCAGAACAATAATTACAGAATATGAACCAGTGATAAATTTTATTTCTTGAAGTAAAAAAAATTTAAAAACTGAATTAGGCCAAGCCAATTCAAAATTGACATACATCCTCTACAATAGAGTCCACCCATTCCCTCTCATATCAAAGAGGCAGTGAAGTATTCAAGAAATAAAAAAATGGGGTTGGGGGGGGGGGGGGGGGGGGGGATACTGAATGTTCTGTATTAGCCAAAAATTCATGATTCAAGAAAACTCGAAACATACCCATCTAATTAATTTTGACAAAAAAAGGAGTTACATAAGAAGTATATGAGAAAATAAATGCAGAGGCATAGCACAAGTAGAGCTACAAGCCCTTTTAAAAACTTTCACATCTAGCAGTCAGCATCCACAATAACACCCATCAATAGAGAATTAAAAGCTTCCTCATAGATTCCCCTCCATAAACCAAAGGGACCACCTCATCATAATTCAAAGACTTTCACTTCTTCTCCTCATTACAATCCTCAACAGAAAAAAATTTATAACGAAGGAGTTGAGTTGAGTTGGTCACCATCAAATGCAATAAAGAAGCAGTCTCTCTATGAACAGAAAAGAGTCTTGAATTAAATGTTCATCATAAATGACAGAAGTCAATACCCGAACCATTACCTCTTGCTCTGCTTCAACAAGCAAAGAAAGAAAAAACCAAGATGATCGATGAGAAGAGAAAGAAAGTTATGGTGCGTTCTTGACTTCCTCTTTAAAGTCTCTCTAGATTAACTCTGACTGATTCCCGAAAAAGCTAAAGAAAAAGAGGGGGAAATAAACTGGCAGTTGTTAATTTCAGCATTCAATAGAACCAACCAGCTAATCAAGGGCAGTTCAATGCAGCCTTAATGTTGTGCACTGTTTCGCTGATGAGGCGATTGACACTCTCTACAGACTCAGTGTTGAGCTTGGCTGTTGGTAGGCTACTCATCAGGATTTGAAAAGTGATGGTTAAGAGAGAGCCTGAGGAGCCATGTTCTGTATTAGCCAAAAATTCATGATTCAAGAAAACTCGAAACATACCCATCTAATTAATTTTGACAAAAAAAAGGAGTTACATAGAAGTATATGAGAAAATAAATGCAGAGGCATAGCACAAGTAGAGCTACAAGCCCTTTTAAAAACTTTCACATCTAGCAGTCAGCATCCACAATAACACCCATCAATAGAGAATTAAAAGCTTCCTCATAGATTCCCCTCCATAAACCAAAGGGACCACCTCATCATAATTCAAAGACTTTCACTTCTTCTCCTCATTACAATCCTCAACAGAAAAAAATTTATAACGAAGGAGTTGAGTTGAGTTGGTCACCATCAAATGCAATAAAGAAGCAGTCTCTCTATGAACAGAAAAGAGTCTTGAATTAAATGTTCATCATAAATGACAGAAGTCAATACCCGAACCATTACCTCTTGCTCTGCTTCAACAAGCAAAGAAAGAAAAAACCAAGATGATCGATGAGAAGAGAAAGAAAGTTATGGTGCGTTCTTGACTTCCTCTTTAAAGTCTCTCTAGATTAACTCTGACTGATTCCCGAAAAAGCTAAAGAAAAAGAGGGGGAAATAAACTGGCAGTTGTTAATTTCAGCATTCAATAGAACCAACCAGCTAATCAAGGGCAGTTCAATGCAGCCTTAATGTTGTGCACTGTTTCGCTGATGAGGCGATTGACACTCTCTACAGACTCAGTGTTGAGCTTGGCTGTTGGTAGGCTACTCATCAGGATTTGAAAAGTGATGGTTAAGAGAGAGCCTGAGGAGCCTGAAATAGGGTTTGAGCTCGTTGAGGCGGCCAAGCCATTGCTTGGGCGGCCATCAGGGAGAATGGCGAAGCCTGAGGGGAGGAGGGGGATGTATGAGGTGTCCTCACCGCTCATGACGATATCCATGGACTGTAGGTTCACTGGTGCATACACCACGATGGAGCCTGATGCGTCGGTGCAACTTTCTTGCAGGATCAGCATACTGTTTTGATCTGGTGTCAGAGCCTGTTATGATATGTTGGAAAATGTATAATTAGACAATTAGAAAATCAAGGATTTGAAAGTTTTAATTATAATATACTTACTTTTATAGGTCAAACTATGATTAAGCTAATGGCATCTGTTGAACAACCACAGAGAGTATGGGTCAATTTAGCAACTCCCTTTTCAAACTAGTTTTAAGGCTAAAAATTGGCCAAACAAAAGCAAATTAAGTCATGGACTTTTTTTTTGGTCAAACAAGTCAACAACCTAAACGGGTTTCGCTCCACTAAACTTTGGAGTGGAGTTGCCAAACAGGCACTTCATAGCAACTGTATTAATATCCAAGGCAAAATGCAACTTTTTAGGAAATTGTATTCATCTAAGAAAATTATACAAACAAATTTACAGAAATTTATTCAATTGACTGTTGTTCAGTTATATATCTCCATAGTAGTGGAGTGCAGGCATTTGATATTACAAGGAAAAAAGCAATAGGTAAGGAGTGCACAGTAGTGTCATCATTTTCTTGCATAAAGAGAAAAACAAATAAAGAAACTTACACGAAGAAGAGAGATAGAGTTCCCTGGATTTAGACCGGTCGTGATGTTGGTGACCTCTTGCACCATATTTCCATTAGACAAAACATCCCACTGCAGAGAACTCATAAATATGAGATACATATATCACGCCACTCATTAGTTTTAGATCAATACAATGTAAAAAATAAAAATAAAAAAAAGAAAGGAACCTGAGCTCGAGTTCTTTCATCCTTGAAGAAACTGAAGACCCTCTGACACGACAAAGGAAGCCATGTAGAGGTCGCAGCACTAAGAACAACACCATTAGGCTGACCAGGGTCTGCACTCTTATGAGGAATAAATCTAACTCTAACTTCATTCAATCCTGAGAGAGTATTCCATTGATGACCGTTTGAAGGGCACAAACTATTGCAGAAAATATTCAACATTCTTTGGGATAACTTCATCATACTCATTCTTCCCTCAGGCGTTGGGATCACTGAAATTCCAAAATATGAATCATTCACACTTTTCTAGTTATTTTTATAATTCAATAATATCTATAACTTTACCTCCAACAAGATCCCTGGTATCTGCTCCTGTCCCCATTAAGCAATGGAACCTCTCGCACATCCTAAGAAGAGTGGTTACCCAACGTTGAGCACCAAAAGCCATGCCACTATGAACTAAATCCTGAAACAATCCTAGAGTTTGATTCTTATCTTCAATCTCCGTGTGCTCAACCCAAGAAACCTATATTGCAATTAATCAGTACTGACAAGAATTATAAAATTTTGTAGCTCAAAATGAATGAGTGCTACCTTTGAGTGGCCATTAGGCATTTCTTGAATCAAGCACCCAGAAGGAAGCCTTCGATTTCTTGAAGGAGGACCTAAAAGGTTCGGATCTCTTGGAAAGTCCACTGAAACATCTGTGACCACCCACGAGCTATGATCAATCTGTTGGCAGTATCGAAGAAACAAGAACTCACGAGTAGGGACTACAGGTGAAAGAATCTGAAACTCTCCATACATCTGCAATTAACTTTTAATTAATAACTTTCATATGGATAATCTCTCAGAATTTGCTAGATTGAATCATATTGATTACCAATATTAAAGATCCACTCCTACTTCCACCCATTCCAGAAGCAAGAACTTCAATGTTTCTTGCATTAGAAACTATAGTTGGAAATAGTTCCATCCACTTAACCTGCAAACCAACAAACTTTAAGTAAATGTCCATACACACACACACACACATGCACGCACATTATGAAAAAGGAAACATGAAGAGGTAAATAGCTTACCGAGTCCATGAACATATCAACCAAAGCCCCAGGGCTCATGAACACAACACCAGAATCCCTCGAGGCCTCAACTCGGGTATCAGGGCCTAAAAACTGATGCCCGGGCTTTGAAAAAATCCTGTCATAAGTCTCTAGGTGAAGGACTTCTCTTCCATCAGTCCCAGGCTTAATCCAGAGGGGCTCATCAGTTTGAACGAGCCTAATTAATTCCTCCATTGCATTTGTAGCTAATTCAGCCATGATGGGCTTCTCGATGTCAGAAAGTGGAGCTGGGAAAGGAAATGGTATGCTCGAAGAACTTCCAGAGAGGAGATCAAGATCAAGAGAAGGGCCAAACCCTGGATTCACAAATCCACCAACTGACAAGTCCAGTGAGGAAACTGATACTGGTTGAATTGGGGGGAGTTGGGTTATTGGTCGTCCTAGATACTTGGATGTAATGCTTGATACGCGATCAAGCTGCAATATAAAATTATGAGAAGGATATTATAGTGCACGAAATGAAAAGGTTGTCATCAGGTAAGAAAACTCCTAAATTGTGGTGCTAAATAATAACCTATTTCAATCCCGTAAAGAAATAATGCTTGTAGGTATGTTATGTGTGATAGTAGTAATTTAGAGCAAGAGGAACCACTAAGAAAGGAAGTGACTAAAAATAATTGAAAGTCATGCATTAGATATCTGAAAATATATAGAACGATATAATCTATCAAATGAAAATAATAGCACAACAAAGCTGGGAAATTGAATACATGACAAAAAAAAAGAAATAGGAAAATATTCTAGTCATGAAAACCAGTGTGTTAAGAAAAAGTTTTTTTTAGTTATTCTCAAATTTTGGCAAAAAAAATTACTTCATGTGCTAATCTTCTATGTTTAAACGGCTAGTACAAAACTGACTATGTAGCATTTATTGACTGTTTGCTAGAGAGGCCAAACATCTGCAGTAGCATTAAACTAAGGTTAAGAAGATACATTAATCGAAATAATCATGATTATAATGAAATTCCTTTATAATATGGATAAAACAATCCCAAAGATAGGATATTCCGAAGAATGAAAAAAAAAGAAACCAATCAAACTTCTCAGGCAACACATGCTCCATGTAAAAGTGCACTATAAAGATACTAAAAATGTGTGATCAATTTAAATAAGTCAAGTAGAAAAGATGATAAACAACTATATTATAAACTACCTAATGTCATCCAGAACAGAGCCTATTGTTTCAGAATTTTATTTGGCCAGTGTCATCGAGAAAGCATAATGCATTTGAAGTAAATCATAGGTGATCCTTCCTCATATCAATGCAAAGGTTGATTTTTCATTTTTCATATAGAAGGCATCAGTACTGCTCAGTCTTAGATTAGTAAGGTTTTTAAGTACACAAGCATATGCTTCAAATGCTAACCTTGAAAGCTGAAAACAAACTATTTTGTTTAGGAATTGATTATAATGGAAATGACATAATAAAGTAATAAGCAAGGCTTCAGTGATCATTAGTCATTACTCATATCTAGCCAAATTAAGCTACAGAGACATTAGTTTTAAGATTGAGTTCGACTGTCTTCAACTATGTTGTAGATAATTCAACTACTATGTGCCATACAATCATAAAAAATCGTCCAAAGAGTTATTATCTGGTGTTATCTGTAAATGCCCAGAAACATGATAATAATAAGAGCAATACACTAACCGAAAATACAGTAACTACTTAACTTCAATATCTGACAGCGAACGAGGACAACTGATACTTTTAATGTTCAATAATATTATTCTACTAAGAAAATGACTCGAATTCTATACAGTCTGGAAATAGGTTGAGACTGTTTGTTAAATGCTCAAAGTTCAACAGATATATGATCTAGTCTATCACTCAAAAATACAATTGCTTCTTTAGATATATATTTAAAGAAGAGCAGCTGATAAAAATAGATATCATCAGGTTTTGTTCTTAAAAGCTAGTAGGCTTTGTATGAATGACTTGAAGCAAATGGCAAAAGAGAAAAACGGCGTCAGCTTTCATGAACTGCGACGACTTCTTAAAGCTATTAATCCAAATATAAGCATAAAACATAATTTATAGCCCCAAACTTGATTATTTTGAAGTTATAATGACGGAAAAAGACAGAGCAGATATTAAATACATTGCTAAAGAAATATCATCTAGTTTTCATCATTATATTTTTAAAATTCCAATCTGTAACACCTAAATGAATGTATTTAAAAACAGTTGTGGTGTCGGCAGAGACTGTAATAAATATTAATAATAACTCGAATAAATGAATCGATTGCTGCATATAAATGACACTTCTGCGATATGATCAATGTTCGTCAAGAACAATGACGGCAACCCTAATAGGCTAAACTCAGAACTGCAATGTATACATATAGATGTAATGAAATCTAATAATTATTTTTCTGACCCAAACATTTCTAGGAACATAAGATATTAGTCCAAAAAAGATAATTCATATGTGCTAGTATCAAGTAATGCTAATTCTCAAACATGCACTCCTTGACTATGAACATAGATATCGACAACCATAATAATAAAAAAGAAAAGAAATCAATGATCAACCTCTTCTTTCAATCTAGCATTCTCCATTCTAAGCTTCTGCTCATCAAAATAGGAGTCTTCATTTACTGGAGGTCCTCCGCAATTTGGGCAGATTATGTTCTTCAAAGCCTCTCTCATTGCAATGTTCTCGCATCTGATCTTATCATTTTCAGCACGAAGAGAACAGTTATCTTGCCTCTCATGTTGGGCCTACATCAAAGAAAATACCACCGATCTAACTTAGAAACACAACAATGGTAATAATCTTTTTTAACCCTGAGAGCAGAAACCTAAAAGGCCCCTTTTTTGTTCTCATACCCAAATCTAACAAAAATTTCTCCAAAAAAAAACCCACAAAAATAGTTGAAGACAGTAAGTTAAAAAATGTTACCTTCATTTGGGTCCTCCTATTTTGAAACCAAAACTTGATCTGTTTTGGTTCCAACCCCAAATCCCTGCTCAGCCTCATCCTCTGCTTCTCATCAGGATGTGGGCAGAGCTTAAACATCCTAAACATCAAAAACCCATCAAAGCTTTAACCTTAAAATCCAAAAAAAAAAAAAAAATCCCCCATAAAAATAGTTAAAATTTTAAGAGAATTTGGCATACCCTTCAAGCTCTTGAATCTGCCTAGGAGTATGACGATGGTATCTCTTCTTCCTCCTCTCCTGAGCATCTTGCTCATCACCAGAACTCATCTTCTCTCTCTCTTCTCAAATGAACAGAGAGAAGAAGTCGGTGTTGTATTAAGAGAAAGAGGAACAAGTGCAATGAAGGAGTGATGTGATAATATTCTAATAATTAAGTTGGCAAGGGGAGAAGAACTCTCCCTTGCAAAAATTGTTGATATGTATTTTTGGAAGGGGAGAGGTAAGAGGGGCTTTGATTAATCAAAAAACGTGCCTTCTCTCTTTGTAGTCCATCCCTCTAAATTTTTTGGGTAGGGAGAGAAAATATGAGAAGTTGGGGATGTGGGTAGATGAGGTGAGAAGAGAGTGAAGCAAAAATGGAAATTGGCGGGTGAGCGGAGACGCAAATATTGGCAATCCAGGGATTCTTACCCAACATCCCCCCTTAACCCCCTCCTCTTTTATTATGACAGGAAATTTTCCTTATTTATTACATTACACACACACACTCTCTCTCTCTCTCCTCTCCCTTGAGAGAGAGAGAGAGAGAGAGAGAGAGAGGCTGAGAAAGTGAAGGACAGCGGAGGAGAGTGTAGTAATAGAGAGAGAGAGAGAGGGTAACCGAAGCGATTTTGAAGCTTTAAACTCTGCACCGTTCTCGAGGATCTCTTTCTTGCTAAACTTGCAATGAGCTAGCTCTCTGAGCTTTTGAACCGAGCATGAAGACGTGCAATTTTTGTTGGGTTAATAAAAAGAAAACAATGTTTTTCATTAAAAAAAATAAAATAAAAAGAAGGGTTTTTGTCATATTAGCCCCCTAAACTTTTATTGGTTCTATGTGAGACCCTCAAATCTTCATATTTTCATGTTAGAGCCTATCCCCTCAAATCTTCCTATTCTCATGTTAGAGAGCCTAGCAGCTTCATATTTGTTCGAAATGAGGCTCCTAGTTTAAAGCTTTTTATCGGACTTGCGGTAGAAATTAGAAATATGGGGTGTTAGGGGGTGTATGGTTCAATCTCTACAGATTATAGGAAATGTTTTCCATCCAAAATATGATTTCTTTGTATTTCTTTAAAAAGTTATAGGAAAAGTTTTGAGAAGTCAAAAAGTACCAATTTTCTTGCTTTTTGTACTTTGCTTGTTTGGTTCAAAACAAGAAAATTGCACAACTTTATAGAAATAGTAAGATTTCCTATAATTTGTAGAAATTGAACCAAACACCCCCTAAATTTATAGAAAACGTCAACTTTATAGAAAAATGTCAATGTGGTGTTAGATTTCTGGGTGATTTCCGCCCATTTTGAGAGAAAATTGATTTCTGTAAATTTTGGTATTTTTCTGCACTTTACAAAAAAAAATTCTGTAATTTTTTTTAACCAAACACAGTTTACGAAAATCTACAGAAAAATTTTAATTACAGAATTTTCATTGTCAGACATTTTATTAAATATTTTCTATAAATTGTTCAACCAAACAACCCCTAATATCAAAACAGCTTAATAAATTTGAGAGTGTAATGAAAAACATGATATTTTTAGTAACAAATGTACAGGGGTCTAATATAACAACTCTTAACGGAATAGTGAATGGGCCTTTTTTTGTTGTGTATGTGTGCGTGTAAGGGAGTACAACTATTTACATGAAAAGTGGAACTCTTAACGTTAGTTAGTAGAAAAGTAGATTTTATGATGTGCACGTACAAGTTGAGCTTCGGAGATTCATGCAATTAGGCAGTACGATATAATTTGCTTATCAAGAATACCGCTTTTATTCGGCATAGAGTTAATAAAAGCTTGATGTCAATTAACTGGAACCTATATGAATGTCTGGCATTTGAAACAAGACTTGCAAAAATAACCAAAACTTGACATTAAAATAACAACAATCTGTATCAAAGATGAGCAATGTGTTTGAGAAATTAAAAAGCAAATTTTATGACAGATGCGTAAAGTAGAAAAAAGATATGATTGAAGTATAATATTAAACTACTTCAATCATGATTGGAGTATTATTTTGTGAGAACAAATTCAATGCTTAACATTAGTAATGCTTGACATTTGTAAGGACATCTGTAGAATTTCACTTTATCAAGGTTAATAAAAGTTCCATGTAATGTTTTTAAGACATGTAGATTGAGTGTATTCATGGCAAAACCTTCTTATTCATGGAGAAGTTTAATGTGCATCATTTTAATCTAGACATGGCTTTGAACTCTATTTCTATCCTTTAATTTTGACAAATTACATAATAAAGATGCACAAAATAAGCATCCAGATTTATCATTGAAAGTATGCAACTTAATGAATCTAGGAAATTAGTAATAACAAATAAATGAATGCACGGGATTAGGTTCAATTTGGATATATCATTATCATGTTACCGAACTTTAATCCTTGACATATATCCTTCAGACCGGATTCAATGAATTAACATTCTCTTCCTTTATTCTAAATATTATTTTCTTTTTTTGTTGCTTTCTTTTCTGCAGAGAGTGCATACATGCCACTAGACTTTAATCCTTGACATCTCTACTCTGAATCCAGATTCAATGAATTATTATTATTTTATTTATTATGATTGTTATTTCCATTTTTCTCTTTCTCTTTTTGCATGCAGAGAATGCATAAGCCGGATATTTCTCAGCCTTCCTCCCTTGCGTATTAAGGCAACCATTATTCACAGACACTGACAGCACCTTAATTCCGCTAAATGGTCTTTGAATATTTACACTCAAAAGAGCCAAGATATATAAGGGCCATTAAAGCTCAGAAAGGCATAATTAGATGAATTCCTTTGAAATATGGAGTAAGATATGAACCGGAACCTATTTTATGTCAAAATAATAATAATTTTTTTAAAAGAAAACGCTATTGAGTTCGCTTCCTCAATCACATAATTTGATAAATCTAAATCGAAAATGCAGTCCAATAGGAATGGAGAAAAAAAAATAGGAATTACTCATAATGAACCTCCTATAAACGAATTTATGTCTTAACTATTTTATTATACTTAGACATGTTATATTTGGCGGCAAATTTTAACGCACTAAAGACATATCATTGGATTGAGAGAATATGTAATAATCTCAACCTATTATATAGTTATGATGCACCAGAGAATTGTCAATCCTTATTTTAATACAATACATTTTAAAATTAGGAATTAGTGTCTCGGTCCTAGGATTATTCTTTTCTTAATTCTCTATTAGAGTAATATGTCTAGGATGGGATTAGTGCTCTGATAAATCATTATTAAGACCCCGTTTGGCAAAAGGTTAAGGAAAAAGAGTTAAATAGAAGGATTAATGTACTTAGCCCATACGGTAATCTGAATGACTAAATTATTAACCCGTTAAATAAGTTTTATTTTAGCCTTTGTAATCAGTTTTAGTGTTTGGGAATAACAATGATTTTGACTATTTTCTTTATAATTAAAATGGTTAATTCTTAATCATTCTAAATATAAGTATTAGTAAACCCCTCGTTTTGAAGGGTTAACTCATTTTAATCCCTCTAGAGGGGTTAGCTTAACCCTTCTATATTTTTTATGTTTGGCAAATTATGGAGGGTTAACTCACTTTTAACCCTTGTATAGATTTTTTGTGTTTGGTGGGTTAAGAAGAGGTTAAGTCTACTTAACCTATCACTTAACCCTTTACCAAACGGTAATGGGTTCTGTTAACCGGGAGATAACAACTCCCAAACCTCTCTCTCTCTCACCTAACTAGCGCCCCAGAATCACTCGTTAACAAATTCCATGATGAATATAGTGAATATGACTTTTTTTTTGGTAAATGAGAATTTTTTATTCATCACCAAAATTGGAATAAAAATTTAATAAAGCACTCGTTAACTTATTCTTTACGAACCCACTGATCAGCAAACAAGGAAAACAATGAATCCAGCGGTCTTCAATATATGTGTTCCTCGATTAGGAGCCCAAAGTTTTAATGGTGAAGATAAATATGTTAGGTGTAATTTCTGCAGGAGTAGCATTATATCTACTCTTCTATATTTAAATGAGGATCTAAAGAATTGTTTTTTATACTGTAGTATAAACAATAAATCAAATATGCTCCTCTATACTCGGAATACTGTTCATACTACAGTATTTACTATATCATAAACAGTGAATCAAATTTACTCATCTACTTGAAGTTACGTACTATTTGTGATTAGTTTTAGTGTTTGGGAATAACAATGATTTTGACTATTTTCTTTATAATTAAAATGGTTAATTCTTAATCATTCTAAATATAAGTATTAGTAAACCCCTCGTTTTGAAGGGTTAACTCATTTTAATCCCTCTAGAGGGGTTAGCTTAACCCTTCTATATTTTTTATGTTTGGCAAATTATGGAGGGTTAACTCACTTTTAACCCTTGTATAGATTTTTTGTGTTTGGTGGGTTAAGAAGAGGTTAAGTCTACTTAACCTATCACTTAACCCTTTACCAAACGGTAATGGGTTCTGTTAACCGGGAGATAACAACTCCCAAACCTCTCTCTCTCTCACCTAACTAGCGCCCCAGAATCACTCGTTAACAAATTCCATGATGAATATAGTGAATATGACTTTTTTTTTGGTAAATGAGAATTTTTTATTCATCACCAAAATTGGAATAAAAATTTAATAAAGCACTCGTTAACTTATTCTTTACGAACCCACTGATCAGCAAACAAGGAAAACAATGAATCCAGCGGTCTTCAATATATGTGTTCCTCGATTAGGAGCCCAAAGTTTTAATGGTGAAGATAAATATGTTAGGTGTAATTTCTGCAGGAGTAGCATTATATCTACTCTTCTATATTTAAATGAGGATCTAAAGAATTGTTTTTTATACTGTAGTATAAACAATAAATCAAATATGCTCCTCTATACTCGGAATACTGTTCATACTACAGTATTTACTATATCATAAACAGTGAATCAAATTTACTCATCTACTTGAAGTTACGTACTATTCATGCTACAATTTTACTGTATCATAAACAGTAAAGCAAATCAGCCGTATTAAAACTTGGATCATCCTTTAAGTATAGAGAATTAAGTAGATATGATTTCTAAATCAATTGTATTAAAACTTGAATTTTTTTTAAGTATAAAAGAGTAAATATGATTTCTAATTTTAAACATTCAATGATCAAATTAAATATATTAAAATTTAGAGGGATACAAGTTTAAAATGTAATGATTAAAAAAACAGGAGGCCGTGTTTTGCACGGGGTGCGTCTGTTTCCCCCGAAGTGATGTATGATGGGGACTATGAAATATGAATGACGCATGTGACCGAGTGATCAGTTGATACCATTTGTCATTATTACTTGCTGTGCCAAAATTTCACTCAAGCTCTGCAGGTCACAAGTTGATGAACCCCATAAAAAACAATTTTGATATTAGATCAAGATTAAAAACCGCTAGCACGTCTAAGTAAGAACTCTTCAGTTATTCATTTTTTTTTTTCATAACTGTGGGCCTGTGGCTTGATGATGATGGAGATGGTGATACAGCCAAAATGTAGGGCCGGCAAATTGAAGAAAAAATATTCATTTTTTTTCTTCATTTGTTCATTCTTTGCTTATGGTTATCGTTTTTTAGTAGTTGGACAGGGATGAAAGTCATGAAACCGTTAATTAAGGGAACATAATAAAATTTGATTTATTTTCGTATTTTTACTTTTTCTTTTCTCGCAATTTCCCTCAAA